CAACCTAATTGACCACTTCGTTTATCACTTGATAATTTAAAATCGGATTGATTTCGAGGAACATATAAACCATTAGACGTACAACAAGTAGCTTCACATTTTAATTTTGTTGTTGAGGAAACTGATGTTGATGATGGTGAAGTTGGTAAAGCTAATGTTGATGTTTCTGATGATCCTAGAGGTAGCATCTCTGCACACAATGTTGTTTCACCTTGAGTCTCATTTAAATTCGTTGATAAAATATCAACAGAAGTAGAATTTCCATCAGAATCTTTGTTTATCTTTTTTTTTTATTTTGAGAAAAAGAAGTCGTAATCTGACTCTGTTTAGCTGACATCGATACACAGAAAGAGTACTGTTCTTTAATTACTTAAAATGTAAAAGTTATTTTCAAAAGAAGTTTAGAACAACAGTTAAGTTATCTTATATTGAAAATAAAGAATTCGACATTGATTTGGACGATAACGAAAACCAATCAGTATCCAATTGGACACCAGTTTATAAGAGATAAAATGTGGAGTAAATTGTAATAACGCATCATCTGTCAGAAGAAAATGAAAGTTAACTAATACTAGGAAATTTTTACATTAGGTTGAGCCTACCCAAGCCTTTACTTTTCTAACCTAGGGTAGGCTCGTGCCTACCCAGGCCTCGTGGCTCCGCCGCCTATGTTCGAGGCAGTCCATTCTCGATCATCTAGCGACCTCTTGACATGTTCTCGAATAATAAATGGTCGAGAAATAATCTAGAAAAAAAAAGACATACAAAAATGTATAAGTCAAGTATGTCCAATAGGTCGGTTATATGCAGCTGCACTCGCGAAACAAAACGGTGAATGAACGATTAATATATAGGCTTTGACACATCTATAATGCGACACATTTTTATAATCGAGTCTGCGACACATTTTTATAATCGAGTCTGCGACACATTTTTATAATCGAGTCTGCGACACATTCTTGTACAACACATATATACGACACATTTTATTTTAGTGTGTAATAGTCCTATTCATCAAATAGTCGATGGTGGAGAAAAATAATTTTAAATTAAAAAAGAAAAACAAATGATTATTATCGACTATATAGCAATAATTATATATGAAATCGAGCGTGCTCAAATGAAAAAGATATTTTCTGTTTTTAATATAGAAATAAATAAAAATTCTCGCCCTTTTCATCGATTGTCAGTAAAAACAACTCTAGTTGACAAGAAGTCTTTCAGTTTACAGATGACGCGTCAGGATAACAAAGCTAAAGGTATATGTGAGTTTCACATTTTAGCTCCACAGGAGCTGTGCTAACAAGCTTTTTCATACGGTTTCTGAAAGGTCTTGAAAAACAGCACCTTCTGGACTAATTTAAAATTTTTGTCTTCCTAAAAATACCTAAACTGCGCGCCAAAAACCGAAAACTATCCTGCTTTCGCTTAAAAGCCTGATTACGGGTTACCATGGATGCGCACAAATTTCGGAGTGAGATTTTCAAAAAGCCTACACATCAGATTTAATTCACTGAAAGTTTCAGCTCATTATCTATTAATTCTACAAGAATACTATTGTTTTAAATTTAAAAAAGCGCGAAAAAGATCAAAAGTTACAAATCGTTTTTATTGGTTTTTGAGAATTTGAAATTTGAAAATCTTAACTTCATCAAAAACTTTTTGAAAAAACTAGCTTTAAAAGCACACACTTTGTTCTATCTAATGGTGAAAGAATTAGATCTCTAGCACCTTCTGTTAAAATACTACAAGCCTTGACATTTGTGCCAGAGATGTCCATCGCGGCGCAGCAGCGGCAGTTTTTTTTTAAAGATTAGCGCGGCGCGGCAGTGGCTTTTCATTTTTTTAGCCACCGCGGCAGCGGCGCGGCATGATTTTTTTGCAGAAATTTACTTTATAATTC